ATTTAATGCCAACAAAATTTTGAAATAGATTCATAGCGATAGTTTGGTAAAAAAAGGTGTATATATATATATATATATATATATATATATATATATATATATATATATTTGAACCATTTTTCAATTACTCACATTTTTGAGTACAAACCAACTTCTTTTAGGAAATTTACAATCTTGGATGGTTTTATTTTCGTACAAAGTTTTTTTTTTTTTTAATTACTCACTTGGTTTGGCTTGGTTTGTTTTGTTTTACGGCGTATCAACCTCAATGGGTTATTTGATGCTGACAACTTTTTTTTTCTCTGGTAATATTTTGTTTTATCAAAAATCTATTTCTGGTAATATTTTCTTCCTTAAAAATGTATAGCTGGTAATATTATTTTAAAAAATGTATTGCTGGTAATATTTTTTCCCCAAAACGTATTGCTGGTAATAGTTTTTTTTTCTTCAAAAATTTATTTCTGGTAATCATTTTTTACAAAGTATTTCTGGTATTAAAACCTATTTTTACACTTTCATAATGTTTTTTTTTTTTTTACCTCAGTTTCGGGGTTAACTATTTGCCTATAGCTGGGACCCTGGGAACACCAACAATTAAGAGGTGGTTTCACGCTCCTCAAAACTTCCTGATCAAAGGCCTTGCTGTTGGACGTAGTTTATCGTCATACCCAGGACGGGACTAGCACAGAGTTCAATGCAAAGATGGAGGTATGTGAATCAAGAAAAGGGAAAATCCATTTTCAATGACAAAGAAATAATTGGTTGGTTTGGTTTGGTTTATGGCATACCAACTTCAATGGGTTACTTAATGCCGAGAAAATCTTTATTTCTCGTAATATTTGTTTTCAAACATTATTGCTAGTAATATTTTTCCTTCAAAAATCTATTTCTGATAATATTTTTTTTCAAACAATGTAAAGCTGGTAATATATATTTTTTTCAAAAAAATGTATAGCTGGTAATATTTTTTTAGAAAAATGTATTGCTGGTAATAATTTTTTCTTCAAAAAATGTATTGCTGGTAATAATTTTTTTACAAAGTATTTCTGGTATGAGGACCTATTTTTACACTTTCATAGTGTTTCAACCCCAGTTTGGGGGTTAACTATTTACCCATAGCTGGGATCCTAACAGGTGCTACTACCCCAGGTCAGGGTGAACCTGGGAGCACCAGCAATTAAGAGGTAGTTCCACGCTCTTCAAAGCCTCCTGATGAGAGGCCATGCTGTTGGACGTAGTTTATCGTCATACCCAGGACCCGGATGTAGTTTATCGTCATACCCAGGACCCGGATGTAGTTTATCGTCATACCCAGGACGTTTCAAGGAATGAATCTACATGCTGGGCTCTAAAGACAGAATACTAAACCTACTCGAGATCTGCTTCCTAGGACCTTGAAATTCCTGTCGTCGGCCTACGAACTCACTCAACTACGGATCTTCCGATTGTCCCCCCTCCCACCACCACCACCACTCAATGAGAGCTCTGAAGAAATATTATGTGAGTGTTAACCTCTTAAGGACAATTTACTATTTGCTTAAAGAACTTTTAGAAATATTTTGAGCAAGCTTTTACATGAAAACTTTTTCTTCCTTTAAGTTAAAGTAATTTACTTCTCCCTTTCTTTCTCTCATTTGTGTATAGTATATCCCTTTACCTTTTTTTTGTGCATGTAAATAAACATTTTTTTCCATTGTTACATCCCGATCAGGAGTTTGAATCTTTATTCTTCCACCTAAAAGAGAGAATTGTCCGCCCTAAACTTTCAAGCCGTTGTTTTTTATCGATTTTGTTACCTTTAACCTTAACCTTTTCATGTGGGAAAGCCGTAACATATTTCATGTGCCTTCCTACTTGAATGTCTAAATGTATTTAAATTCGAGTGAAGATGCCATTAAGGTGTTCTTATATAAAAAGAAAAAAAAAGCAAATAAAAGGAATTTAAGGGGAAATGGACTTAACTTTTTAGTTAAAATAAGTTTATCTTATTTAATGTAATATATCGTCCAGATTGACCATTGAAGGGACCAGAGGCTCTCTTATTCTTTTGAAACAACAAAGTCTTTGGGTCACACAGGGCCGGTGCGTATGTAGTGGGAATGTTAGCGGTTTCCACTTGTTGAGGGTTCATGGCGTGGCTGTTATGTTGTTGATAGAAGTCAGACGTAGAAGAAACGCAAGTAAGGTTCAGATACTCCTGCCCGCCGAGCCCAACTACATAGAAAGGTTGGACTTTGATTAAGTCCAAAGAAGAAGGTAAAGAAAGCAAACAAAACACAAGACCGATAATATATGTATATACAATTATATATTAATAACAAGTTACAATACATGGAAACAGTACAAAGGACGAAGTGTGTGTGAATATTCTGTATGTGCGTGCGTGTGTGAATATTCTGTGCGTGCGTTCGTGCGTGTGTGCGTATTGTGCTTAGCGTGTTTCCACGCTATCCCTTGTTAGCGCCTACATTTCGAGGTTGATAGTTGAAATCCTGAAGGACAAAAAGAGAAATTTACCTCAAGGTGTCAGTGCACAGGCCTGAAGGAAAAAGAGAAAGAGGCGAAGGGTCAGCGGCTATTTATAGCCAGGGAAGAGAGACCCCTGGTGAATGGGTTAACGGACTGAAGGAGGAGTTAACTCCGACACGTACTATCCTTCAAAAGTCCCGACCGGGGAATCCAAGCCTGATTAGGGATCCTGGGCAGTACTTTTTGACCCTCGCTATCTTATCAACAGTTGCTTTTTTTTTTTCTACCTACAAGGTGGTCCGAAAGTATTGTCACCACTACATAATATAATTTTCGTATTCAGATGGCTGACACAAGCTCCTACAGTTTGGAAGAGAGGTAGTGGTGACAAGACTTTCGGACCACCCTGTAGCTAGAAAAATGTTACAAATTAAACTAAACACAACTGCCTAAAGGATGAAAAAATTTCGTGACTTTTGACGTCATTCTGTTTTGGTTTTTTTTTGGTGGGGAGGGGTCATCTAAATCTGTGAATTTGTTTTACTCATGTGAAGTCTCGAAAAAAAAACACGATATAAAATTCAGTATATGTTTTTATCCATAATGTTGAATTCTTCAACTTAAAAAAAAAATCGCAAGTTAAAATTTACCTCAAAATATTGTTGATTTATTGAAGGATAAGATGGAATAACCTATGACATGTAGATACATTGTATTTATTTTCAATTTTTCTAGTTGAATTGTTCACCTATATTGCATATGATCTCTTATTGTACATAATTAGGTTACAATAAAATTTGCATTTTATATGAATACTACCTTATGAAAATTAGTATCACAGATTCGATAGGGTTCCACGAGAGCTTTGCACTGGCCCTGTACGTAAGAATTAAATTTTAATTACAGACGTATTCCAGTAACAAACATATCATTAAAATTGTATACCTAAGTTTGGAGAAGTGTTTTCATTTAGTGGGATTCTAACAATATGGAATATTTTTATTTAAAAGTTTCCAAATAAAAGAGAAGACAAAAATTCCACAGAATACCGGCAAGTGTGTGGTTAAGCTACCCCACTCAGTCAAATAAATTCCTTAAAACTAAGTATTAAAATTAGGTGTATACGAAATCTTCTTCGATGCGCGATGTTTCTTCAGGACGTGGGCGATCATGCCTCTCCACAACTTCCGATCTTTTGTAGCTTTTAGTAAGGTTTGTCTTCTCACCATCACTCCTAATCCCTGTTCCGCTATTTCCACAAGCTTGTTAGGTACATTACTCAATGTTTCCCTCTGTCACTTTTGCCTTCAGTATAATCCTGTGAGTGTTAAATTTGCCAAGTCCTCTTTTCTCATTATTACATCCTAGAAATGTTAACTCTTTCTCATTCGAAGTATAAGTGTCCTTTTTATTTCCATTTTTTCTTAAAAACCTTCTCGCTACTTATATGTTCAATCTATGGTATTTTTATCTACATCTCTGTTGCCCCAAATCTCATCTTCAACTGTGAGAAGATTGTGTAGCATTCACTGCCATATAGGAGGACTGATTAGTGATTACAAAACAGGTCACCAAAATAGTTACGTATTTTCCACTGGTTTTAGGCGCATCGGCGTTTGGGTAATGGTTAACGAAGCTAGTCTGGTTGCCCATTAATACTGATTAGAGAGTTTGATACTCAATTCGCACACTATATAAAATTCAACATCAAATAACTCAAACTCATAAAATCAACTAACTAACCAGCTCAATTCTTGCTGGATTGGTGTTCAACATCCAGATAAATATGTATGATGACGATGCTGAATATTTAAGTTTGCAAATGTGAAAATTGGTGCTACATAATCTTCTTTCCTGAATTTGGAGTTGTTTGCGACCTTTCTATTTCAATTTTTCCTAAAACTTCGTCGTTGCTCACATGTTCAGTACATGGTATTCTTATCATCCTTCTGTAGAACTACATTTCTGTTGCCTCGTGTCTCCTCTTCATCTGACAGGAGAATGTCCGGCATTTACTGCTATATACGATGATTGATATTAAATAGCAGTTTAGCGTTCTTTTCTAATTGTTTCTAACGAAATTTTCTATTATTTTTTTAATTTACACCGACTATTACATTTGTTTTCTGTTTTTGGATATTCTGCAACCTGTTTTTTTATTTCTCAAAATTCACATAAAAAATTGGTTCAATTCACGTAAATTTATACTATGAAGGTAAATGAAACAGGTAGGAAAATGCCCCCCCTCCATTACCCAATATCAACAATGAATGAATAATTTGATGACACTCTCTTTTAGAAAATATGTTCGTTAATTAGTTTTTGTTTTATATTTTACCACCTGTTCTATACTTTTTTCTTCTTCTTTATCAGGTGTTGCCTTTCACCGGCGGACTCTTTTCATACACCTACCTTTCGACCGGCAATATGGCTTTTTTTAATAAGCTCATCATAAGCGAAAACTGGAAAACTTTTTACCACGAATTTATTTAAAAAAAAAACCTTTCCATGTCGGATTCTACTTTTTCAAGTTTTCCCACCAAGCAGATTGACAGGGAATAATAATAATAATATTGTAAGTTTTTATTATTTTGTATTATAGAAATTTCTTTCTCCTTAATTCATTAAGAGTTGTAATTTATTCATTCAATTAATACTATTACTAATATATATATAAACAGTTGATATATAAAAAATATATATCGTTATTACATCTCTCTCTCTCTCTCTCTCTCTCTCTCTCTCTCTCTCTCTCTCTCTCTCTCTCTCTCTCACTTAACATTGAGCTCTCAGGATTTCATCCTCCGTTGGATTATCCATACGGATTACCAAGATTTTCGTTACTTAACTTATATATATATATATATATATATATATATATATATATATATATATACAGACAGTGTCCACTCAGTGTTGATCTCAGTATCTACTTTTATATTTACACGTTCTATCTCTGAAATTCATCATTTTTACTCATAAATATATCATCATACCATAAAATAACATTTTTATCATATATATATATATATATATATATATATATGAAATATAAATTATATTTTTAAATATTATATTATATATTACTTAATATAATATATATATAATATAATTAAATAACACATATATATATATACGATATATATGTATAATTATATATAAGATATATAATTAATATATTATAAATATATTATATATTTATTAAAAATTAGATTTTTATTATATATATATGAAATAACCACGACATTCTACACATACGCACATACACACACGTATAGACATACACAAATGCGTATACACACGCGTACACACATACACACGTGTATACATACACGCACACGCGTACACAAAAACAAACAAAAGGGAAAAAAACTCAACCTGATACCAATAAAACGCGCATAGATTATTTTTAACTTAATTTAAAAAATAGCCAAAATGAGAAAATCGCCACTCAATTGCTGATACTTCCTGATGAGTAAACCGAACAAAAATGTTCGACTACGAAACTCTGGAGTCGGGGTTCTGAATATAACATCAATTGGCTAAGTGACAAATTTTATATTTATATTAACCCTTCAAATAGGTCCCTTTAAAAGAATACGTTCTATCATTTTCAAAGCCATATTTAAATTCGGTGGTACAAAATGCTTGTTTATATATATATATATATATATATATATATATATATATATGTTTTGAACAATAAAAATATTAAAGAAATTAAAATTTTCAGACACTTGGTTGTATATTAATATTTTTTTGTTTTAGTATTTCAATTAGATTCCTCGACTAGTTTCGGTCAGCATGGCTATCATCAGGAGAAAAAAAATTCTGCTTGTTAGTAGCAGTGAACTACAGGAATGAATGACTTGACGGAGAAAATGAACTTTATTTGTAGTTTTCATTTGTTTTTTATTTTTTTATAAATTTTGGAACACTGGATGGATTCATGCTGCTCTGACTTCCCTTGATCATTTTGACAGTTTTATTGGTTCCTGAAAAGGGGAGGTGTCTGCGTTAAGTGTGTGTCATTTAGTTTTTAGGGAGTGAGTGAGCATGATATGTGTAAGTGTGTATATTAGTATGGGTGTGTGTATAAGTGTCAGGCCTCTACACCTCCGCAAGCATGTCTATCTTATGTGGATGAGAAATGTGGGTAGGTCCTGATTTGTGAGGTTATATATTAATTCTATCTATCTTGTTAAATTTGTGATTAAGCCCGTCTGGATGGAGGTGTTTTGAGCGCTGAATCCATTTATCTTGATGGTCTTCTAAAATGTTTCTAATGTTATCTGCTCTGAACTTTTCTATTTTCTCAATTATAGTGAATTTGGCATGAGTTTTAAAATCGTGTTTTTGTAGAGGGAAATGTTGTTCTACAGGTTTCATGGGGAGCCGACATAAACGATTGCGATAATTATTAATTCTGTAGTGAAAGGGCCATTCAGATTTTCCTACATATGATTTCTGGCATAATGTGCATTCTAGGAGGTAAATTGTTATGACTTCTACAGTTAGTCGTGGTAGATTTTAAAAGTAGATTTAGTGAGCTAGTGGACGAATTAGTGTCTAACGTGGTTACAACATAAGCTCTTTTTGATGTTACATGGTTGGGAAAATCCTGGTTTTTTGTTTTGGGTTTATTACGGATTACCTTATCCTTTGAAATGTAGTTATTACCTATAATTTTCTTTAGGTTCTTAGATCTACGATATGCAAAAAGGCCCTGTTCTTCAAACAATTTTTTTAGGTCTAGTTTGAAATATATATATATATATTTTCAAAATATGATTCCATTGCAACACAAAAAATACTGTTTCTAAACTTGACACAAGTCCTAAAGTTTAATGTCAATATTAAACTTAAAATTTAGAGTACAGTTTCCTTCTCAAGCGATGTTTAGAATAATTTAAGTTCTATTTCTGTATCTGGCACTATTTTTAAAAAAATAAAAACATAAATACTAAAGAACTTTGGATCATTAATCTAACTGTTCTTTCTTATTACACACACACACATATAGAAAGGTGTATGTTTACGTTGATTTAACTACACATGCACATGAGAGGACTTTTAAATTCATTTTTTTTTTTAAGTGTTTGGATATAAAGGTTTTTCATTTCATTTAGTATCTTTTTCTTATTGTTTATATTTTTTTATCACTTTTTCTATTAAGTAGATGTTCCACAATGTAAGAAAGGTGACATGTTGTAAGAAGATGGACGCAAAATTGCTGAGGACTATCTAGCGATTAAAGCAATTTTTATCCATTTTCGCCTTAGTGAATTACTTTCTGTTTTAATAAAATACCATTTTAAAAATCAAAATTATGTCTAGACACATGACGGTGAGCAACTAAATGCGTTGTGTGCGTTATTATGTAAAAGATCCCTTTTGTGTTCATATAAACTTTTATTTAAATTTCTTGTGGTTTTTCTTATCTATTCTTTGCGGCAGTTATTACAGATGTAGAGTAAATTCCTCTTTTGAGTTTATTATTATTTGGTTTTGTTTAAGTCTTTTATTGTTTTGAAAGTAGTTGTAACAAATTTTATGTTAAGCTTAGATAAATTCTTTCAATTGTAGTTGTGTTAAAGTTGGTAGGTAGAATAATATATTTCGATTCGTTGGGTTTGTCAGAATTCCTCACTCTTTTATTTTGAAATATTTGACGAGCCTTTTGTTTCACGTTGAATTTGAAATAATGAGGGTTACAAATTCTGAGTGCTCTTAAATATTTGTTCCACTCTGTGGTGGTGCGAAATTTAATGAAATAATTTATTCGTGTCAACATTTTTATTAAGATGTTTCTTCTTCTTCTTCTTCTTCTTTGAGAGGGTGGGGGCAAGGATCTCTTATCTAACACGGACGATCATTTTATTTTGTGATTGCGATATTTAAAAATAAAATGGCTGCTAAAGAATAAAAACAACTTCTGCACCGAAACTGGATCCGTATTTTTTGCAAATAATATTTTCAAAACATTTTGAGTTCATTTGATATTTATAGCTCATGACTCCTGAAGCACATATTTTAATTCTGTACGATGAGTATGTTTCTGTAATTTTCCCTTTCTTGAATGTTACTTTTGCACATTTATCTAACCCGAAGTCCATACCGATGCTATCACTGAAACATTTTACAGTATTGGGGAAACCATTCAACTCATTGTCGTCTTTGGATTACTATTATTGTTGTTGTTCTTGTCGTCATCATCATTATTATCATTATCATTATTATAGAACTACGAGATTGACCTACAAAAAAAGAGGTACTTGTATTGTGGATTTGAATACCAAGAAATGAATTATATTTTTAAAAACATTTTTGTTATGTAGACATAACTACACTTTTTATTGATTTGTTTACAGCTTATCAACCTTTTGCAAGTTATTTAAAGCCAGGACATATTTTAGATTGTAAGAATTTTTTTGAGATAATAAGGATTTATTGATACAAGCCCTACTGATTCACCCATAGTTGGGGAGGAGAATAGGTGGATGTATACTTTTCCCAAGGGTATTTGCGTGTAAGTGAATATAACGATTGCAGTTAGAACTCGGCTCTCCGATTTCCAATTCCGAGTCGTTATCCATTACAGCACCTGCATATCCAAGCTTACAGCGCTTGGTATTCCCAAGCGGTCACCCATCTAGTTACTGACTAGGCTCGACTTTGCTTAACTTTGATGATCGTACAACAACCGAGATTTCATACAAGGCCTTTCAGATAACAATAACCGGCTAATAATTGGAAAATTCTTTATTCATTGTTATAGTGATTTACTAAGCATAGGCCGAGATTAAGAAGCACCCAGTGAGGATCGAACTCGCTACTCAATCGTAACTGATCAAGCGAGCAAAGCTTACTAAACATTACACCACGTCGAAATGCCCAAAATCCATTGTTATAAACAACTTTAAAAAACGATACAAGATTTATTGGTTTTAAATTATTATTTTTTAAAAATTAATTTCAAACAAAAGACTCGTGTTGATAGGACAACATTATCCGTTTTAAAATATTTTCTCTGTATTTAACTCTTGGTAAAAGATTTTCATCTCAATTCTTTTAGCACCATTAGATTTCCCTTTGACGTATAAGGCCACAGCCTCGCTACATGAGGTGTTGCTGTATCAAGTCGATTTTTACGAGGTGGGGGTTGCTATCCCCAGATCCAAATGGTTTTGTATTCAGAGTTGTCCTTCTCCTAGATCGGTTGCTAACCAAGGCTAGAGAGTTCATTTAACCCCTAACAGGTGGGAGAAGAAATGTCTTCATACCTTTCCTAATTGTTTTTGTGTGAAAGTAAATGTAACAAAATCGACTGGAACTCGAACTCGGCACGCTGATTCCACTTCCCACATCCAGTTTCCTCGCAATAAATTACAGCCCACCATCTTAAAATGGAGTTTTGTTTCTTTCATCGAATTAAAACAACAAATAATCATTTGATATTATAATCGATTTTATTTTTGTTTGAAAACCTTTGTTTTACGACTGGTTCTAAAAATAAGACAATAGTGTTTTATATATTTGTGGTACAGCTCATATGTATTATTTAAATAATGAATT